TTTTAAGACCCGGCTTGCCAAAGCCCGGGCCGGGTTGATTTAGCTGGCCATTGGTCCTGCTTTGAGCAGGGGGTTGGACTAGATGACCTCTTGAGGTCCCTTCCAACTCTGATATTCTATGATTCTATGATTCTAGGCTGGGAAGGTATCTGGCCTGTGAAAGAAATACCTGGAGTTTTAAGCTGCAGGCAAGAGCAGCTTGCCTTCAAGAACCTCTGCAATTTGTCTAAAACAACATTTAAGGTAAGAAATTACTACTTGTAATTAGTTTCTTTAGTGTATTAAGCTTAGCTTGTGTGTTTGTTTTATTTGCTCAGTAATGTGCTTTGATCTGTTTGCTAACCCTTATAATACTTAAAATCTATCTTTTGTTGTTAATAAACTTGTTTTTGTTTTCTCTGAAACCAGTTTGTGGAATTCATAACTGGGGGGCAAAAAGCTGTGCACGTCTTCTTCCACACTGAGGGAGGGAGCGAATTTCATGAGCTTACGCTGTATAGTTCTCTGTGCAATGCAAGACACCAGAAGGTGTGTGCACTTGAGTGCTGGGCAATTCCCTGAGTCCTCCCATGCAGTACTGATTTCAGTGTCTGTGTCTTTCTGCAGCTGGGTGTGTCCCTACCTGTGTGTGTGCTGGAGGATGCTTGAGGGCCTGGCTCAGCAAGACAGTAAGGGAGCCCAGGTTGGTGGAACAGGTGGGCTCAGTGGTACCCCAGTATATCAGGTGGCACCCTGGATGTGTGGAGGGGAAACCTGTCAGTCTGCATAAGTAAAGAAAAACAGCACAATGCAGTCAGTCACACAAGTCTTTCTAAGGAACCAAATGGCATGCCCAAATTATAAAATCAAAAGATAAAGGGAAGAATCAATTAAACTAATTGATATAATAGGTCACCTCCAGAAGAGAAAAGGTTTTGTTGAGAACAGCAACATGACTTCTAAGCAAAACACATGTATTTTAATATGTAAGAGGAATAAAATAACTCCAAGCCAATCAATATATGATCATACAGAGATTTCTTTAACAAATAACAGAATTGAAGATAGGTGCTTTTGAAAATGTTACCCAAGTGAGTGCATGGCCCATTTTTAGAAGTGATTTATTCACTTGGGTCCAGATTTTTAAAGGTGGATAGGTATTGATGCACTCAAAATTGCAAAGTGATTTAGATGGTTAAATTATATTTTCAAACATGACATAGGCACTTAGGAACCTAAGTCTCAGTGAAAATCAACTGCATTTGGGCTTCTAGATATGTTTAGTCATACAAGTTATTGGGCTCAATACAGGGTAACTGGGTGAAATGTAATGGCCTGTGAAACACAGGAAATTAGATTAAGTGATCTAATGGGCCATTTTGGCCTTAAAAATCCATGAATCTGAGAAAGTACAAAGTCTGTATCAGATGGGAGAGTGCCACCAACTGATTCACCATTAGGTGCTGCAGACAGAGTAATAAGTGATCCTTTCTTGGAGCTGATCAATAAACTCGTCCAAACCCCAGGTTAGCCTGGACTGGGTGTAAAAAACCATGCTGCAAAGCCATATTTGAGTTACTGTGTCTTCTCTGATGCTGTACTCTTCCATGTATGTCACTAGGACTTCTGAGGGCATATCCCAAGGTTCTTTCTGCTGCAGTAAGATGAGTTGCTCAATCATTTCCCCCCAGTGAATTGTGGGAGAATGTATCCTTCTGGGCACAAAGGGGAATTGTGGAATATCACTGGAGGACTATCAGCACTGGAATGATTTAGCCTGTGCCCTCAGTGCTAAACGGGTGGATTACCAGCCCAAATGGAAGCTGCACTCGGGTTTTCGCCTACAGCCTCAAATAAGACAGCTAGCCCAGGTTGAAAGTGTTATTAAAAGTGGGTGAGTGAGTTTTGTGTGTGTGTATTGTTGGGGGAGGGGAGGGAAGCAGTTGGGGTAACAGGAGTTAAGTGCCCAAGTTAACTCCACAGTGAAGAGACACCCTAAATACTGGCCCAGCCTATCCTTGCTTAGTTTATGTGATCACAACACAAGGTGTTACAATTTATGCTAGGTATGGAGGGAAATGTAGTGTTGTACCTAGTACAATAAGGTTAAGAATTCTAGGATCATCCTAGTATTTAAAATACCAGGTCACTTCAGAAAAGGGTAAAAGGTAAATTCTGAATACTGTTGAATCCTGCTGGTTTTTGGCCTCAAACCCCAAACTTTAGCAAAACAGAACACACACACACACGCTCTTGACATGTTCTGGAGTGTGAACATTGCAAGAATGCAGATCAAGCACATCAATCTTGCTGGACCAGTGCCTACAAAATTCATGGTGTGAATAGAGAACAAGTTAATTGCTCCTACTGTACCTGGATCTAAATAGACAGAGGAATACATCAGAAAAATCTGTATCCCATGCAATGAGTTTCTCAAAGCTGTCTAGGGGGACTTTGATACACATCTTCCTTTAATATGTTTAAAATTAATGGAAGATGAGTCTAAATCCCCTAGACTGGTTTGAAAATCTAAGTCAAGAGCTGATCAGCTAAACTCTCATGTCATCCACATCTGCTTAGACAAGTTCAATTGGCATGAAATTTGGTTGTATGGAGAAAGATCAAGATGTGAGGATCTCCATTATTAAGATTTCACTGAAACATGATTAATTAGATATAGGTTTTATTTGATGTTAAAGGATGGCTGTAATTGCTGTCTATCTGGGGGAGGGAGGAGATATGGGGTTTAAGTGAAAAAATAATCTACACTTTGGTGGAAGCAGGTGGGTCCATATTTGGACTTTTCAAGTTCTTGTGTATCAGGATGTACTAGAGGCTAGATTTTCATAGTACATGTAGTAGACTGTGCAGGTTTGTGGCCAAAAAAAAAAAAAAAAAAAAAAGGTTAGGGTCTGGCAACATCTACATGCCAGTTATTTGTGTTTTGCTTTGCTCATGCAGCAGAATGTGTTGAAGTTTCTGATCATGTAGGATCCAGGAGATGTACTATTGGTTTTGATTGGCCAATATCCTCCCGATTGTACAAAGACTGTGGAATTTAGTGAACTGAAATTAAAAAGGAGAGGGATCCAAGTAACAGGTATATTTTCTCAGTGCTATTGGGTGGAGATGCACCAGGGTCATCATTTTCCCACTAATGCAAGGTGCAGCGGTATTTGTGTTCTTTAATAACGTATTGTACACTTTGTGTTGTGGAAGGGGGCAAAAATTGATCCAGGTTTTTATGGTGCTTTTTTTGTCTATATCCGAGTCAGGTGTGTGTGTGTGTGTGTGTGTGTGTGTGTGTTGTGTGTGTGTGTAGA